TTACAAATCAAATTTTGATTGATTGTAATGTATAGTGATCCTAGTTCACGGTTCCAAGGCATTCTGGAAAACCTGGCAAACCTGGAAATTTAAAGACTAGTTTTCCAGTCGTGGAAACACCTGAAAATTGCTAAAAGAATTTTTTTGTATTTTAGCCCCTTAGGTTGCCAATGTAAACTTAATGGCGTATTTATTTGAAAGTCGACGGTTGGTAGGATAAAATGTACAGTAGGACACTTGAAACTGGTTTACCAGATGCAGTGTGAAATTGACTTGCAGTGGTTTTTCCAGCATCAAGTAAATGTTCTCCAGAGGTGTGAGCAAGATACCTTCCTAAGATTAACATAAATTCAAAATTTAATGTAGTCAGTTTGCCCAATGCCGCATCTATTATTACTGTTTGGAACAAAGTGCTGTCCTGTATTGTCAAGAAAAACTCCTGCAAATTTCTGGAAAATGATTTGTTAAAAAGAGCCAGAACTCTAACCTCTAACCACTAACCCTTACCTAAAAATATAAAGTAAATTCCTGTAGAAAAAAATCCTCTCAACCTGGGGCTTTGTGGTCTAACTACATTAGACCACAAAGTCCCAGTTTCTATTGTGGGGGTCCTTGACATGAAAAAGTTTGGGAACCCCCTTTGGGACTAAATCAGTGGTTGCCAACCTTTTCCCTAAAGGAGTTTTCTGTCACTGAATAAACTAATGACCCTGAATAAGTGACATATTTGATGGATATTTCATATTAGTCAACCAATTGTCAGATATTCCCATGTGCATGCATGAGATACAAACTGCAACCCGCTCATCAATCAACACCTTGTTCCATAGAGCTACAAGCTGTCAGAAACTCTACTGTGAAGTTCCTTTTTGCACAAGTTGTCTGATTTTGCATGTTCTTCACAGAACCCCCCACCATCACCACCATAAAGTGGCAGCAGAACAGAAAGATGAACTCACTGCACAGGTTGGTGACAAACTGTTATGGTTTTGATGGTGAGGCTGAAAAGTCACCTGTGTCCCCAATGATGTGGTTGTGGGATACATTTTCTGCTGACCTTTTTTTACAGTCTGATCACATACAATATGGGGTAGCTACGCTTGTAGTAGTCACACTCTAAAGGAGGTAATACATACATTGGGCGGCTGTGGCTCAGAGGCAGAGCGGGTCGTCCACTAATCAGAAGGTTGTTGGCTCAATCATCTCTCCGCCAGCGTGTCGAAGGTGCCTTGACAAATAGGAGAACGCGGACGAGTCGCCGCATTTGTATGCGAAGTTATTTAGTGGTTGTGTGTTTTGATTGTGATTGATAAGTGTGGATCCTTGGAGTGTTGAAGCTAGAAGGTGCGCTATGGACAATGACAGTCATTGACAGTGGCATTACGGCACCCTATCATTTGCTTCAGTGTCGCGCAGTGAGAGTATCTGGCGTCGGTCGACCCGGTGGGGGCGGTCGCTAGTAATAAATCTTGGTTCGTGAATGTCAGGTGTATCTGGTGACAGAGGAGTGTGTGGTGAGCATGCAGTGTAGCCCGTATCGTGTCATGACAGAATTAGTTGTGATAGTGAATTTTCGAGTCAGAAGAAGCTACTGGCTCGCAGAGCTTTTTCTTGCTAGCGAACTATGAGGTTCCTTAGATCATTGTGCGTCATATTTATTGAATTTTTTGGTCAGCAGGTGCATCGGCAAGCCACGACTGCTACCACACTTGAGGTAGTTGGTGTGGTAACATGTGTAATGGGCTTGTCGAAGTAGTTTTTTATTTTTGAGAAAAGCATGATTATTACCAGTGTTCTTTTTTTTTTTTTTTTTCAATTTATATTTGAAATTTTCAAAATACAACAACACAAAAAAAAAACCAACAACAATGTAATGGAGTCATCACAACTTAACATCAAACCCCTCCCTCCCCCCACCCCAAATGTCTGTGGCGTACACAGATAGAACGAGAGAAAAAAAAAAGGGAAAAGGTGAGACAAATAAGTTAAAATAACATAGCAATTATTACTAAAATGGGCTACATTTACAGTTGTGACACGTGTACCATATGTAAAGAATAAAAAAATAAATAAAATAAATTGAATTAAAAAAAAAAACAGGATAAAAAGTACAAAAGTTTGTAGGTAGGTACAAGAGATAAAGGTACTAACAGGAAAAGGCTTGGATGAAGCTGTATCATTGTCTTATATAGCATTATGTTACACTCAACCTTCCGGCAGTTTGCCCACACCCACTAGTGCCAGCTTCTCCCTAATGGACACTGCAGCACCACCTAGATTCACCTGCTATGGAGCCTTTAAGTATCAGGTATCTTCCCTGTTGGTCTCTCTCAACATTATCCACCTGTAGAGGGACATTTTTACCAATGAATGTGGCCACACCTCGAGATTGGGATGTGAAGGAGGAATAAAAGATCTGCCCCTGCCATTGACGTATCAGTTTGGCATGCTCTGCATCCGTTAGGTGGGTCTCCTGTAGTAGAGCTACGTCTATTTTATTGTTTCTCAGAAAATTGAGTACCTTCTTGCGTTTTGTCAAATCATTGATGCCATTGGTATTCCATGTCAGGTATCTAAGAACTGCAGCTGTCATTTCCTTTATCTATTTCTCCCATATAATAATGTAAGGTCGGATGTAACCAGTTAGAGCAGCTGGCCGTTGTCTCATCCAGGAGATACACTTCCATCTCTTGTACATTGAAAATAGATGTATACATGGAAATGAAAAAGAAAGAAAGAAATGTGATTAAAGTCAAACTAAACCCTTTAGTCCCCCCTCCTGTCCCTATTCCTCCCCAACTGAGGAAGTACCAAACCCCTATTCTTCCTGACGATTTTTTAATGCAGCTGTAACCTATCTTGCTGCATTATAAAACAGAGCCAATCCTCCTTTAAAGTTAAATAATCTGCTAGCCATTTAACCCTATTCATAACAGAAATTCACAATCATTTAAAGTGAGAACACAATTTCACTGTAGTATGTGGAATAATTCCTCATGATAACACCACCTAGTATTAGCAATTTAACCAGCTATTCTCTGTTCTGCACAAATATGTATAGTAAGATTAAAGAAAGTAATATTTATATGTATGTTTGTGCAGACAGGGATATATAAACACAACAGTGTGGTAAAAAAATAAACAAAGCGATTCTTGTAACGAGTTAACAGTAGAAGAAGGGAAAAAAGATCAACATTAATTCGCAGTATATAATAACAGTTTCAAGGTTGTCTATGGTGATTATAACATTTTTGAGTATTTTAACAACCTTTTGGGCATGTATGCTCCCCATTAGTAAACTACTTACATACTGGATCCATGATGTGAATTAACAATTCACAAAATAACCTGACATCTCGACCACTGTGATGCGGGAGAGAAACGTCCGTCTGTCCCCCAAGAAAGCAACAGTCCCGCGTGGAAGGGACAAGGTCGAGATATATACGAAAATCCTCCAGCCAGGCGGGACCATACAAACCAGGCACCAGGTGAGAAGAGAAGCTTCCCGGGCGACCAAAGGCAGTCTTGTCCGTCCCTCACGTCTTTATTCCCTCACCTCTGGGAGAGTAGTCCCGCCGGTACGACATGAAACAGGATCGGGGTGTTGTCCAGGCTGTCCGGGTAGATGGTTATTCCTGGGGCAGCACGTCCCGGTGATATTTCCTCAAATAATTTTCAGCAGCTTGCGGCGTTGTGAAGGTGTGTCGCCCTCCCTCTAGATCCATTGAAAAGGTGGTTGGATGTAGTAACCTGAAAGTGATGCTCTTTACCTGAGTCTCCGTTTTAGTGGAGCAAAGGCTTTCCTCTTTTTGTACAGGGCTGTAGACATATCTCTGAAAATCATGATAGTCGAATTTTGTCCCGTGCTACGTTGATGATCTTGACCGTGTCAGAGAAGCGGAGGAGCCGGATCACAATGTCGCGGGGTCTAGCACCGTCTGCTGGGCGTTGTAACAGAGACGCGCTCCACTTCGAAAGTTTCCCCATCCATATAGAGTATCTTGGGTAGCCATTCTTGTATGAATGCCACTGTGTCCTTCCCCTCCACTCCTTCTGAAAAGCCGTCCAGCGTCAGGTTTTTTCTGCGGCCTCTGTTTTCTTGGTCGTCCAGTTGTTCCCTCAGCTCTTTCAGCTCACCCTCTGTGGTTTTCCTGTAGTCGTCCAGCTCACACTGCAAGGCAGTTAGTGAGTCTTCAAACTCACACTGTTTTCCCTCGACGCACTTGACTCGGTTCCCAATGGCTTCGTTTTCACTGACAATTTTCTCTATCGTTTCAGAAAGTTTAGTCAAACGTCCCTCAATCATGGACTCAATCCTTTGTATCCCCTTATCCATCTCGAATATGAACCATTGTGGGGGTTTGTCAGCTATCCCACCGCCATTGCCGCTAGCAGTCGTTGAGGGAACTAGCTGGTTTTTATCTTCCCTCGTTGTTGTTCCTTCGGTCTTTTTCGGTGGCATGGTCTCACTTTCAGTGTATTCACTTGTAGAAGCTAGCATAGTGTCAAGTTATTTTACTATAGAATTGGTAGAAGGCTAATTTCAGCAGGCTAGTGAGCGGAGGTCGGCACCGTGCGTCTGCTCCCTTCGCCTCCATAACCGGAAGTCCAGTGTTTATTTTTTATTGTCGATTAATCTGCCGATCATTTTCTTTTGTTATTTTGTCCATAAAGTGTCAGAAAAGGTGATTTCCTGTTTTGTCCACTACCCAAAGATATTCAGCTTACAGTCATAGAGGACTAAAGAAAGCAAAAAATATTGACATTTGAGAAGCTGAAATCTGAGCTTTGGACATTTCTTCTTAAACAATTACTCAAAAGTTAAAAGGATCAATTTAAAAATACCCATCTCCTGCGGGGGGTAGGAACACTTTATACACTTCAGTGTCAGTGCACTAACCTGTCCAACCTCGGCAGGCCTGCAGACTTCTAGATATAATGAAATAAGCTGGCTAGAAGTTTAGGTGTAAATGTGGCATGGTGAGATTCTCCATAAGTGTTCTATCACAAAACAACTTTTATTGTCTCTGTTTTGTAAGATTTAGTAAAGGACAGCCTATATGAGCTTCATTTTATTTTCTTAAGAAATGCCTGGTGCCTTCTGGGAAAGAGCCCATCATCATATTGCTTCATATTTTATTGATATGGAGTGGCATTAGACAAGGTTAAGTTGAGTTACTGGGCGTACATTTGTGTGCATTGCATGAATGTCAGTGCCTTGGAGGTATGGTAAAAAAAAAAAAA